AGATTAAAACTTTAGCGTTTATTATTTACAGCAATTTCTTGCACTAGAAATAGAAAATTTGTTCAATTTTTGCTATCAATGATGAATCGTTTGGTATAGGCTCCATGGTTCAAACACTTCCGAGGTACTATCGAAGCAGCTGGATTCTTCTCGGTATGTATGTTCTGGTGAGGTCGCTGTTCTCAGCGATGACACCATTGAAATCACTGAGCTGCCCATCAAGACGTGGACCCAAACGTATAAGGAAACCGTGCTCGAGCCAATGCTCGAGTCAAATGACAAGAAACCGGCCATGATCAGGTGTGTTCATCGTACGTAATTGCACGAATGTCACTAATAAGAGTTCTTCAGCGATTTCAAAGAGTATCATACCGATGTGACGGTTCGATTCGTCGTGAAGTTGCCTCATGGGAAATTGAGAGAGCTGGAAGCAGAGGGTCTGCACAAAGTGTTTAAGTTGCAAACAGTACTAAACACAACGTCAATGGTTAGTATATGCGACGTCATTTTGGAATTGTTGCTAGGAAATTCTATTTTTCAGGTGTTGTTCGATGCAGCAGGTTGTCTTAGGAAGTTCAATACAGTAGAGGAGATTTGCGCCGAGTTCTTCGAGACGAGGAAACAGAAATATATCGCAAGAAAAGCATTTATGGAGGGCATGTTACGGGCGCAGTCCAATCGGTTGAGCAACCAGGTAAGGAAGGTGTCATGATCAAGGTGGTTTTAAGCGTTATTGGAGATTTTTAGGCTCGCTTCATTTTGGCAAAATCAAAGGCGAGATTGTCATGGAGAATAAAAAGAAACAGAACATTGTCGAGCAACTCATCAAAAAAGGTAGCTCCTTTTTTTTTTCTTCAGTTTCTCGCGTTGGTTAGCTTCTTTTGAATGATGTTGTAATGTAATGTTCCTTTTAAGGATTTGACCCTGATCCAGTGAAGAAATGGAAGGAACTTCAAAAGAAGAAAGAATTGGAAGAAAGTGGCGAGTATGACATGGAAGAAGAGGAGGAAGAGAATGAGGTTGGTGATCTAATGAAATAGACGAAGTTTTTTTTTTGCGCGGAAGTGCTTTATTATTCCGGTCAATGATGAAAGACTTTCTCCAACAATGATTTTACTGTCGTCTACAATTGACACTTTCTGTTCAAAAGAGCTTACTAAACAGAAAGAAATGTATCGACAAACATAGAAACCTCTGCTTTAGAAATGTCACCTGAAATGTGTAGGTGATGTATAAAGGCGCAGAGGTACATTTTATTGCCACCAAGGCATAAGTGTATAGATGATTACAAAAAGGCGAATCTGAGACCGTGAACCACTATTGCGCAATATTTTTCGCAAATATAATGTTGTCATCGATGGAAGGTTGTATTCATTATTGCTGGTTATAGGAGAGCGGTCAAGACAAGGATCTCGATACGAAACTGTCCGACTATGATTACCTTGTTGGCATGGCTCTGATCAAACTGCTCGGAGGAAGAGAAAAATAAGTTGCTCAAGGAGAGTGACGATAAAATGAAAGAATTGCGCGATTTGGAATCGAAGTCTTGGGCGAATCTATGGAATGCTATTCGATACCATTTTGAGGCATTGATGACAGAGGTGAGCTTGCGTTGCATTGTAGTTTTCTGGACATCATCGTTGAGGTAAAAATATGTCGTTATTCAATATTTTTTTTTAGGAAGCTAAGGAAAAGGCTGATTTGGAGTCGAACATCAAGAACGCCGCGAAGAAGTTCGCGAAGGAGGAGAAACCAAGCAAAGGAGCGAAGAGAACAGCAGCATTTGCGGCGGTATGTCTTCCGTTTTTTTTTTCGAAGAAAAAAAAAAACGAAATGAGCGTATGCTCTCAGGAAGTGCTTCCTTGAAGGACGCGTATCCGTATCGAAGCAGGCATCACAAATCACTGAAGGAAAAGTACGAATAAGATAAAGGCGGCGGCGACGAGGGAGAAGAAACCGAAGGAGCCAAAGCCGCCTAAAGAACCTAAGAAACCGAAGGTTGAAGGCGATGACATTAAGAAATTCCTCAAGGTAAAAAGGAGCTTGACATTTGAGTAGTTTGCCCACGTTATGGTGGTGGTGACCGGGTTTCCTTTATCGTGATTTTCAGAGCGAGAAAAAGAGTCCAAAGAAGAAGAGGGACCTGATACATGGGATTCTGATGTGAGCAGTTGCCGCAACCTCAGCGCGGCGTGTCCGCATGCATCCGTAGACCGAGTTCTTTCTCTATCGCGAACTCCATGCGATTTGAACGGGCGACCCATCACAGTGAGATATCTCTCTTCAGGCATGAAAGAATATTTCGTCTGACCCGCACCGATGATTATGTGGAGGAGTCATTCCAAAGAAGATCGTGCCTCCAGAGGACGCGTTGGTGGTTGAATAACAAAAAGATTGACGAAATATTCATATTTTCAGCCCAAGCGTACAGAGAAGCATGCTGAAGAGATGACAAACGGAAATGCTGCTGGTGATGCTGGAAGTGACATTGTGATGCTAGACGACGATAACGAAGCTTCGTCACCTGTGAAGGTTAGTAAGACACAACTTCTTCAGTAATTCACTTCTGCCTTTTATGGATCGTTAAATTTACTGTAGGATTGGCATAAGATAGTGTTGCCGACAAGTTTCAGTCCGAACCGGTCAAAAAGTCTGCTCCGAAGAAGATTAAGATTGTTGACAGTGACGAGAGTGTCAGCGACTCCCCCAGCGAAGAAGTCAGCAACGGTTGGTTATAGTTTTAAGTTAAGGAGCTAGACGGCAGACTGTTAGCCAGTTATCGGGTTTTTTTCAGCAGGCAAGTCCCGTTAAGAAACCACCAGCGAAGAAGAAGAATCTTGCTGCTGGTGATATTAGCGATACTGAGACGACATCGAAGAGAGCAAAAAGGTTAGCCACTTATTCATTATTCTATATCGAACGACAACTTATTATTATCAAGACGGTACCGTTTAGACTTCTGATGACTATGATGTCTTTGAAATTCCCGATGACGATGACGAAAAGCCAGCTGCAAAAAAGAAGGCTCCAGCAAAGAAGACGGCTGCACCACCTAAAAAGGAGAGAGCACCAGCAAAGGCAAAGAAAGAAAATGGTACGACTGACTCTCCCAAGATGACAGACTTCTTTGGGAAAAAGGTTCGTTCCTTTTCCGAGATTCATTCCACTTGGGTGCACGAAGAATTTGCTCCAAATGATCAATGTGTTTTTGCTTCTGTTTTTCATAACCTTGTGCTTTAGATTCTAGCACTGACCCATCCTTTTGTGGTTTTTGCGGATCAAGTTTAGAGAACATTCTCATTAATGGACGGAGGCTACCCCACACGGGTGAGCCCCTTCCGACAGACAAGTTCGCTTGCTAAAGAAATAGAGTAGTACTAAGTGAATGCCATTGATTAGCGGACGTTAATGTGCCCTCTAGGAATTCGTAGGGAGAAATACGGAGGAAAGTGTGCCGAACGTGAATCGCGAGAAGGGGAGGCTTCTATTCCTACGGTATAGGGATAGCGTACATAGCCTAATGATAGAGGTGCACCGGAGATCGGGTGAGCGGTTGATCAAACTGCGTTGATGGGATTCATCGCGTTAGGTGCGTTTAGACAATCGAAATGATATCACCAACAAATGCATTAAACACATTTTACAGAGCAAAGCAAGAGAGGTGAATGCTCAGGAGTCAGATGAGGAAGTGGAATAGAGGATAATTACCCTTCCAGCTCACGCGCAGATAATTTAATAACTTACAGGTGTACTTTGATCCCTACTGTTCTTTCTTGTAAATTTCGGCGAATAGGAGAAATTCGCTCGTTACGATACATTTATTTCGAGTCGGCGCGTCCTCACCGGCGGCGAAATTATAATTAGGGATGGCACGGATGATGCAGGCACAGATGAAGAACTTGCGACAAGCAAAAAAGAAGAGGGGTAGGTCGATTAGCGGACAGTGACTGATCTGTCCGTTGACATCCATCCAATTAGATTGTGAAATGGTTGGTGCTTTTTAAGGCATGAATTGTTTGTCCTCACTTTCTCGTATATTCATCTCACATATAATTAACTGTTCTATGTAATAATCATGTAATAATATGGTTTGTGTAAAAATAACTAAGTTCAAATATCGTATTCTTGGATCTCGTAACTTATTAAGCCCCGATGATAGCGTTTCAGATACTCGTTTCTGCATTCTTTTTAGCAGTAGTTGGTATCATGTTCACGTTTCAAAATTTATTCATGTGTCATTTGATGTATTCGAAGAGATTTCACTCGTTTTTTCTCCCATTAATGGACCTCGTTGTGAATAAATCGTATAACTTCGTTGTGTCTGTTTTAACGGTATCAGCGACGAGGTATCGAGTGACTTACCCACTTTTCGCAGAGCATAACTATAGTGCCACTGAAAATGACTCTGGATTTCAGATGCTGATTCGTTGTTTTATGATGATTTTGTCCGTCTCAACTAAAAATTATTAATCTTTATAGCGAAATAATTAATATGCGACCTTTATTATTTTCAAATCAATAACTTAAAGCTGAGGATTGTGTGAACTCGTAGGTGCGGTGTTTAATTCTTCTTCGTAGTTGAAGCACGTTTAGCCTTTTTCGTTTTGTAACCACCCTTGTTGCCGAAACAATACGGACAGCTGCCACCAGTTGAGCCACCGGTGCTGTATAACTTCGTTCAGGAAGCCGTAGGTGCCGCTGCCCGTAGTTTCCGTAGGTATTGCTTACGTAGCTGTGGCGCAAGTATATGAGTTACGAATGATGTAGCCACCGCGTGCGTTATGGTAGCATGGTTGTTGTCCTGACTCAAAACCATAATTAGGAAACTATTAAATGACATTGTCGGATAACCGCCGAGTCCTTGAGTACCGTAACCGGATAGCGCTTGTTGATATAAATCCGGTTGTACGACGTAGTTCTGTCCGCCAAGTGCTTGGTTGGTGAAACTGGACGTGGGGTACGAGCCAAACGTCATTCGATTCGAGGCATCCGGTACATAGGCCTGAACGAGTTACTCCAATTGATTTACATAATTTATATGTAAAATATTTGTGGCATTTTCTACTTAGGGATTTTTCAGCTTGAAAATGATCATTCATTTGGTTCCAAATTTTCCCCGATATAGAAGCTTAGTGGCGATGAGAATCAAAATTCGGCACTATTCAACTATTACGACCCCAAAAACTCAAAATTTTATTTTTCGTCGAAACTTCGCCTATAGGGGTAATTCGGTGCCCTGATCACGAAAATGAGGTTCATTTTTGGCGCTGGCGCCATTTGGCGCCAATTGGCGCCAAGGGTGTTTTCACCAAATTCGCTGTAAACTTGCACATAGGGGTTATTTGGGGTCCTGATCACGAATATAACATTCATTTTTTCCTTTTAGCGCCTGTGTGCGCCTGTTTTCCGCTCGTCTGCGCCCTCTCACTGATCACCTCGCGATCGGGACTAAGCCTTTGAGGAGGAGAGTGCTCCGAAGTGAATAACACTTATCCTGTGATCTTATACGCTTTAACGTTTGCCACATGTTGACTGGTTCACCCACCCCGGAGTCCTCCCTCCTTCTAGGCTCAGTCCTAGGTATTATGTACAAGTGAGAGGACCCAGGAGAATGGAAAATGTGCGTTGAACGGTGGAAATGCTAAAAACGAATGACATATCCGTAATCAGGACCCTAAATAACCCCTATGTGCAAGTTTACAGCGAATTTGGTGAAAACACCCTTGGCGCCAAATGGCGCCAAATGGCGCCAGCGCCAAAAATGAACCTCATTTTCGTGATCAGGGCACCGAATTACCCCTATAGGCGAAGTTTCGACGAAAAATAAAATTTTGAGTTTTTGGGGTCGTAATAGTTGAATAGTGCCCAAATCAATGCACGAGAAAGCGTCAGAAACGTGCCAAAGACTTCCTATTTGTTTTTGCGATTATTGATCCTTAGAATCAGAAAAAAATGCCTCAAATGTTTCGTCAAGTGTTAGCACAATCAAATGGCCTGATGCGGGTCAGGAGATTGACGTTACAGCGACGCGCCTTCGGTGAGTGCTTTTGCGTGGACGTTACTGTGTTCGATCAAATTCATATCTTTTCATTTTTATTAAGTGGAATTACCTTCGTGAAGGATTCCCGACTTTACCATCTTCTTTCTTCTTTCCTTTTATTTCTCCTTCCACAAAAATCACTTATTTTTGTAACTATCTTATTTAATTCTACATCAACAAAGGCAAATATACACAACTGTAGAAATTCCTGATTTTGACACTGGCGAAATAAAAGGACTTCGGATTCAAGCTACATAACTGTTGACTATATGAAAGTTACGAGTCTCTAGGCTTAAGAAAGCTTGATGTGTAAAGATAAGGGGCATGTGCGAGGTAATAGTGCCTCTTAACGCACCCAATTATGCAGGCGAGATCCCCTGCAGCCACTTGGAAGCAAATGCCTCGCACTCGGAAATTTTCCACCTTCTATCGACAAACATGCTCCCTACCTGTTGGCACAAAGCAAATGGGGATCTTCCTGGTCCACGCCGCGATCAACTTTCACCACCTTTTCTGGCTAAGTCGACCGAAGGCTAAAGAGGTGTTTTTGCTAATCTAAGGACGAAAGGATCATAGGAACGAATCAGTCGAAAGGATAAAGAACAAGTTTGTTTCGCTGCGTAGAATGTCACCGTGATTATTGTATCGATGGCTCCTTTGCATCATAGTACGTGCGCCATGTCATAGGGAGCCGATTGAAAAAATCACTTTCCCCTCTCTTAAAAATGATTATACTTCGCTTAAAAACCAAATGCATCCAGTTGAGTTTTGGGGAGCACATTTAAGTCTGTCGAATGAAGGCACATAGTAGCCTTCTACACCGACGGAATTAGAGGATTTTCCCACGGGAACGGTGCACGGCTCCAACTCAAGAAGTTCCCCGTCGGTTCATGGGCCATTACGACGTCATCTGGAAACCGCTGAGTCGAAGGTTTTGCCTAATCGCGCTGCTGTATATCCATCAGTCAAACGACGCAAAGGAAAATTACTGGAGCTGACGCACGATTCACGTAGGCCCTTTGAGACTCGACAGCGTGATGAAGTCGTATTCTGAGCAGGCGGATGCAGTGGAACGAGGACCTGCTCTTCCTGTCCATGGCGAAGGCCGACTCTAAGGGAATAATGCACGCATTGTAGCGTAAAAGACTGCCACTTAAACGATGAAAATTTTGGGCATAAGCGTCATGGGCGGACCAATTAGATTTTTCGCTCACGTTCCTGGAGAAAAGAGATTTCTCCCAATATGTATGAGTATCTATTATTATTCGCTACGGTGGTATTTTTACTAAATGATGAAAAATCTTAGCTGGAGAAATTCTCGAATCACGAACTCTTAGGAAAGTAAACGAATGTCTACACCTTCGATTGAAACAGTCGCGTCGAATATATGTTTTAAATGAATTTGTTCTTTCCAAGTTCTACTTATTCCTAATATATATTGAAAAACCTCTAACCTCGTTTATCCGCGTAGCGATAGCTTTTCCAAGTTGATTACCGAAATCTGTGGGGCCATTGAAATAGGACAATGGATTGGGGCTGAAACAGTAGTACTGTACACTTACAGTATTTTACAAGATTAGAAATTGCTGCTTACTCGTATATTTGTGTATCCATTGTAGGAGCCAGTGAGGTATTGTGAGTTCATTCCAGCACACTGTGGACAGACAGCATTTTGGATGTAAGCGGTTGAGTACTGTAGGGACAACAGGTACCAATGCTATTTGTGAAGTCGTTGAGTATGTCATTGAAACTGAAATTCGATTTGAATGCTTTGGAACAATTAATTTGAACATAGTCACTCGGCTCAAATGAGAAATCATAGAATAGCAGGTAGCATAGTTGCATAAATCGAAGACTACCAGAGCCTGAAATTCTGGAAAATTACCAAAAAAGGCAAAAACAATCTTGTGGAGACCATTGTAGTGGGAGTAGCGAACACTTTCGTACTACATTCGCTTCCATGAGCGTCAGAACTACGCACCGTTGCTGTTACTAAAGCCACGTTCGCAACTTCCCAGATGAGGGCGTTCTTACGCTCAAATTTCCAAAATGGTGTAGGTAGCTGACTTGACAATGAGGAGATTAGCTGCAAGCAAAACTGATACGTATCCTCGAAAGCCCATCTCGCCCTGATCTTTTTGGCGAAAATTGGCTCGTTTTCTTGTTGGTTGTCTCCTTTCTTTGTCCACCGACGGAGTATGTCCTTTAGGCCGATGTCAGACTTTGCGAATCGAGCGATTCGCTAGCGTGCGCGGTCGCGTCGCGTACAGCGAATCGCTCGATTGGCTGGTACCGCGACGCGACCGCGGACGCTAGCGAATCGCTCGATTCGCAAAGTCTGACATCGGCCTTAGATGGCAAAGATGTGGACCAGAGAGTAGGTGAATCGGTCTCGGCCCACACGAGCTTTCCAAGGAGTAGTAGTCAGCTTTGCTTGCTTCCGGCAGTACTGACCAATCGTAACTCGAAGGCAGTTACGGGATCTGCGGGGAGCGCGGCTGAGTTGATAGTGCCCGCGAACTGTGCTGATGGAGTGTTTTCAAACCTACCCGCACAGTTCGCGGGCACTACCAACTCGTCCGCGCTCGCCGCGGCCGCGCCCCAAATCGTGAAGAAAGTGGGGAGCCCCTTGTTTTCTTCACTACCTTCTCGAAACGAGAATATCATCCCTATGGTTAGAGGTATTATCCGCTCCTCTACAAGCCGATGCATGACAAATATTTTTCCGCCTGCTTGATCATTGGTTTCTCGCTTAACATGAATTTCCATCTTCTTCTAGGACATTTCCATACTGCCGCTCTTCAAGCACAGTGGCCAAAAACTTCTTTTTCAAGCTTTTATAGCTACAGTTTTGGGGGAGAAAGGAAGAGTGACGTGAAACGTGAGTAATGGCATGAGAGATTGTTGGGAAAAGAAACGATCTATGGAGACGGGTTATTTACAAGCAAAGAAGAATCGCAAAATGAAATCCCTTTCGAGAAAAACTTGTAAATATAGATAAGTGTTCGTAGTTCTTGAGATTAGTGGTCAGCGAACCTGGAAGACAGGAAGTTACAGTCCCAGATCTCTACATTGAAGAGCTCGAAATTGCTAAACATCGTTTATGGATTGATCCCGTTATCATATCATATTGATATCATCGTTCATGATTTTTGTGGTGAATTGTGGTGGTAGACTCCCACTCAGCACGCAGTGTTCTGGGAGTTCACTTTGCTTCGCTCCATAGAAGTCTTAGCTTCGGAAGCTGACTAGTTCTCTATTGAGGGAAGGGCGCCATTTAAGATATACTTGGCTCTGATTAAAGGCGCAGTTTGCGATGGAGTGCCCATTAGCAATCAGGTAAAGGTGGTCAGTGGTGCGGGATGAAGAAAAAACCATGAGAAACGGCCCAGAACCCGAGAAATGGGACCTCTTCTTGCCGTTGATTTCCGCATTGATGCGACTCTCATCGGTGCTGCCCTCTTCAACGCTAACGCTCTCTCTGCTAAACGGCTAGAGTCAGACGGCGAGAGGGTGGCCGCGTGCGGTATGGCCCTGCAAGGCCGCTGGGGCATACTTTTCGCTGCGTAACGCGCATCGTTCCGCTTCCTTACGGTGCCGTCCTGTCTTCCAACTGGGTATATTTCCACATTTCGACCTCCGACTATCATAGAATCCTCCTTCAACCACATTTGCTAGCACTCCAGCACAAGCTGCTTCTCGGGACTATCCTCGCTAAATTCTTCAAAACTATCGCATGTTTTGTTCGATCAGCCATTTTTTATATTTGCGGGTCCGCCGGGTATAATATGGGAGTGAGATCCGATCTAATATTGAATATCAATTTATGGTGGAGGTAAAATAAATTGAAAAATACAAACATAATGTAATATTATCAATATTTACTAATGTAGAATAGAACAAATATAAGAAGTTTTCCAAAAAAAAATTGCAAAAA